ATAGGTAAGGTCTCGATCGACCTGCAGCTCGCCGAAGTCCACAACATGGTCAGGGTCATGCACATACTTCCGAAGCATCGAGACATGGAATACGTCATGCACACCCGACAAATCTGGTGGTAAAGCCAGCCGATACGCTAAGTTCCCGACTCGGTCGAGGATCTCGAACGGCCCAATATATCGAGGTTTGAGCTTACCTCGCTTCCCGAAGCGAATCACCCCTCGCATGGGCGAAACCTTCAGAAGAACATGATCTCCCACTGCATACTCATGCTCATGCCTCTCCCGGTCGGCATAGACCTTCTGCCTCTCCTGGGCGGACCGGATGGCCTTCCGAATCTCCTCAACGGTCGCAGCCGTGCTCTGAACAAAATCCGGTCCCGTGATCCTCCTCTCTCCAACCTCATCCCAATACAAAGGAGTCCGGACCTTACGTCCGTACAAAGCCTCGTATGGGCACATCTTGATCGAAGAGTGGTAGCTGTTGTTGTAGGTCAGCTCGACTAGCGGAAGGGCATACTCCCAAGTCAGGCTTCGGTCCAAGACCACAGCCCTCAAGATATCCTCCAAGTACTGGATCACACGCTCCGACTGACCATCGGTCTGGGGGTGAAAGGCTGTACTAAACTGCAACCTCGTCCCCATGGCTCGGTGCAACGATCTCCAGAACTGGGATGTGAACTTAGCATCTCGATCCGAAACAATCTCCACGGGTACCCCATGAAGCTTGACAATGTCCTTGACGAACAATTCGGCGTAATCACTCGCCTTCATGGTCGTCCGGACAGGCAGAAAATGGGCAGACTTCGTAAGGCGATCCACTATCACCCAAATCGAATCGTGTCCGCTCCTCGATCTCGGCAGACCAACCACGAAATCCATGGCGATGCAATCCCACTTCCACTGGGGAACCTCCAAAGGCTGCAACAACCCTCTCGGTTTCTGGCGTTCAGCCTTCACTTGCTGACACACCAGGCACCCATCCACGAATCTCGCTATCTGCCACTTCATGCCACGCCACCAGAAAGATTTTCTCAGGTCCTGATACATCTTCGTGCTACCAGGATGGATGGTGTACGGGGCACTATGGGCTTCCTTCAGAATCTCTCTCCGCAGTTCCCACACCTTCGGAACACAAAGTCTACCCTCGAAGACCAAGGCTCCATCAGATGCGACTGCAAATCCACCAACTTTACCTGCTGCTGCCAACTCCCTCATTCGGCACAGGAAACGGTCATTCGGCTGCTCGGCGACTATCCTCTCTCGAAGAGTCGGTCCCACAACCAAAGAGGCCAACACACTCCCGGCTGTCGAAGTCGACTCCACTGCCTCCAACTGCAATCGCTCGAACTCCCGAAGAAGAACATCCTGCTTGGTGAACAAGCAAGACAACTGGCCATGGCTCCTCCGACTAAGGGCATCGGCTACCACATTAGCTTTCCCAGGGTGATAGCTAATGGTGCAGTCGTAGTCCTTAACTAGCTCCAACCACCTTCGCTGCCTCATGTTCAGCTCCTTCTGAGTGAATATGTACTTCAAGCTCTTATGGTCGGTAAAGATCTCGCACTTGCCTCCATAGAAATAATGCCTCCAAATCTTCAAGGCGTGGACGACAGCAGCCAACTCAAGATCATGAGTGGGGTAGTTCTGCTCGTGAGGCTTCAGCTGCCTCGACGCATAGGCTACGACTTTCCCTTGCTGCATCAGGACGCAACCCAAACCCATTTTCGAAGCATCACTATAAACTGTGAACTCCAAAGTAGGGTCGGGTATGGCTAGAACCGGTGCGGTAGTGAGTCTCCTC